GGGGGGGGGGGGGGGGGGGGGGGGGGGGGGGGGGGGGGGGGGGGGGGGGGGGCGTGGGCAAGATAGCGGGTATTGGGGTCCACCTGTTGCTCTAGCGGGTCCACCGGCTTCCCTGCCGAGTCCTTGCAAGCTCGGCACATGCCGGTCGTGTCTAGGAACTTCGTCTCGGACTCTTGAAGGTATCCGAAGAGCACCTAGAGAACCATCGATGGAATTATCAAACCCACGAAAAAAAAATAAATGGCAGTGGCAGCATTGTTGGTTAGTTCGTGAGGACAAACCGTACACACAGGGAACAACCGCAAGAACACACGGAAAGGCGGCCATACACCGCATAAAAACGAACCTGGAGCTGGTAAAGCAGGTTCTCCTCCCTAGGGACCACTCCTTCCCCCTTCTCGATCTGCTCCGGGGTCCTGAAGAACGGGTCGCAGCTCAGCACTCCGAATCGGAGGGCGGGGACCATGAAGAGCTGCTGCAGCAGCGAGTTCATGTAGCAGGTCGCCCCCAGGTTCTGCAGCCCGACGTATCCGCACTCGGCCTTGTCCGTCTGCCGCGGCGCGTACGCCCACGACACCCGCTCCACGCAACCGGCCCCGCCGCCGCCACCGCCGCCGCCGCCCCCGGAAGAAGCGTCGGCGGTAGCCGCCGCCGCTTCAGCAGCAGCGTCAGGTTCATCGCCGCCTACCGCCGGTTCTTGCTCGTCGGGGGCAGCACCGCCGCCGCCGCCGTTGCCTTTGGCGTCAGGGGAGGATGCTGACTGGGTCGGCTTCGGGGGCTTTACCGTTGCCGCTGCGGCGACGGCAGCGGACGGGGAATGGCAGGGGGAGGAGCTCGAGTGGTGGCGGAGGAGGAGGTCGATGAGGACGGCCACGTTCGCCCGGCAGTCGGTGGCGAGGTCCGTCAGCAGCCCGAACGCGTTGGCCCGACAACCCTCCGACCTGCGGGCGTCGGGGGGGGGGGGGGGGGGGGGGGNGGGGGGGGGGGGGGGGGGGGGGGGGGGGGGGGGGGGGGGGGGGGGGGGGGGGGGGGCAAGGAAGTACAAGCAACAACCCATGCAGAGCATGCCGTCATGTTGTGGTTGGGGGGGCAACGGATTACAGCCCACGCGGAGAATGTCGTCACGCCGTTGGGCTCGCAGATTGTTAAACCAAACACGAGACGCACGTGCAAAGGGGTGTTTAACCAAACGTACACGCGATATCCAGCTGAAAAAAAAAAAGAGTCGATGCAAAAGCAAAACAGGCAAAGCGCGGGGAGAACAAGCACCAAAACCAAAACCAAAACCAACCTGCACTTGGGAGGGGCCAAGGGCCCATGGTTGTCGTGCGTCGCGATATCGAACAAGCATTCGTGGTAGACGTGGTGAAGCAAGCCCATTCCCCGCGTGCCCACCACCCCCTCCTCGGCCGCGCATATCCCCTCCAGCCCCCGGAGGCCCACCGCCTCCTTACCCCGCGGCCCTAACCAGCCGATGACGATGCGCGCGAGCCCGAGCAGCCCGGAGAGGTGGGCGTCGGCCGCGGTCACCCTCGGCTTCACGATCAGCCGCATGAGCCAGACCAGCAGCGGCACCACCTGGGCCAGGGCGGGCACCCCGTCGGCCGCTACCGCCTCCGACAGCGCTGCCACAGCCGTCGAGGCGAACTCCCGCTCGTCGGCGGGCGCCGGGGCCGGGAGCGGACCGTCAATGCTGTAGAAGGACGTGTCCACATGGCCGCCGCCGCCGCCGCCGCCGCCACCGTCGTTCCCGCCGCCGGTGCCGCCGGTGCCGCCATTGTTGGCGGCGTTTTCGCCAGAGGCATGGGGTGATGGCAACCCGCTCCCGGCAGCCGCGGGGGGCGCCGCAGGCGGGGGGGGGCGCAGGGCCGGGAGGGTGGCGCAAAGCGCGCGAGCGTCCACGTCCCCCTTGCTGAGGAAGTCAGAAAGGAGCTGGTAGAGCTCGCGGCACCTGGCCCCGTCAGGCTCGTTCCTGCCGTAGGGCACCAGCGAGATCAAAAGCTGAGCCTGCGNTGCGAATATGAGGGAGGTATCACATTTGCGGGTACAGAACTCAGAACACGGCAGATTGCTGCTTGCCATGCCGGCTGCACACCATTCGGCCTGCCAAAGACCGAGCTTCGACACAAAACGGGGGCCATGGCCTACTACACTACCAGCGCCACCGCACCAAGCAGAAACTCACCATAACCGTGGTCAGACTGACGAACTCGCCGCCGCCGCCGCCGCCGCCGCCTTCGTACGCCCCCGCCTCCCCCGCGACCTCGCGGTCGATCCCAGCGAGGGCGGCCATCACCCCCATCGCGTTCTCCCGCAGCTCCCGCGACGGGGACCGCACGAGCGCCTCCCTCGCCGCCTCCCCGAAGGCCGTGCTCGAGACCATGGTCATGGCCATACCGGCCCTCGCGCTCAGCGTCAAGCACTCCTGCACGGCGGCCGTGGCCGTGGCCGCCGCCGCCGCCGCCGCCGCCATTCCTGCCCCGCTTCCGGCGGGACCGGCGGGTGGCGGCGGCGGCGGGCGGGGAAGCGTGAGAAGGTTGGTGATGATCGCCGAGCAGGAGCGCGCCGCTCGCACTGTCTCCTCCAGTGGGTCGAAATCTCCCTTGCTGGCGGTAGCAATAGTGGTCGTGGCGGCGGCGGCGGCGGGGTGCCTAGGCCTCATCGAAGACGTTCCCGACGTCGCGCCAGCCGCCGGGGCCGCTAGCTCACGGTAGCAACGGCAGGTGGTGAAGAGGATGACCGGGAGACGCTCCATCTGCGAAGCAGGTGGGGGGGGGGGGGGGGGGGGGG